CCCACCTGGGCAGGTGCTGGAAAGTGGAGCCCCCTCTTAGCTGCTGAAGGAGAAACCCTGAGTCTGGTCAAAGGGCCAGGACGGTGGTCCCAATCTTTCCCTATAGAGCCAACCTTTCCCTGGGGATGTGGCACAGGAGAGTCCCAGGGCCTAGCTCTTCTTCTTGCAAAACAGGAATGAGGATGGGGTGCCTGGGGGGCTCAGTTGATTAAGCGTCCAACTCTTGATTTTGGCTCACGTCATGATCTCGGGGTGGTGGGATCAAGCCCTGCATCAGGCTCTGCGCTCAGCCGGGAATCTGCCTCCCCTCTCCTTCTGCCCCTCCCCCTGCTCATGCACTCTGTCTCTCTCTCTCAAGTAAGTAAATAAATCACTAAAAAAAAAAAAAGAGTTAAAAGAAAAAAAAAACAGGAATGAGGGAAAAACCCAGCCTATTGGCCCCGGGAGGGCAGAATCTTGCTGTAGAGTTGGACAAGTGCTATGAGACCCTTGGTAAAGTCCTGGAAGTAAATACCACGCACCATATCGATACCAGGCGTGGTAGTGGTGGAAGGGCATTTGATTCCGAGTTTACTCTAAGTTTGCCGCCTGTGCAATGTGCCATTCTCTCCCTTGAGACTCACATCCTCCTGGAGGGGTAGATGGGACTTCTGTCCTGATTTTTCAAATGAGAAACCGAGGCGCCAAGGGAGCAAGTGACTTGCCCAAGGTCACACAGTCAGTCACAGAAACAGGATTTAGAGCCAGATCTTCTCAGCCCCAGCCCACCATGTGTCTTTCCCACCACACCGTCTCCCCATTATAAAGCCTGAGTTGGTGCAATGAGGAAAGTTCAAAGCCACCCCAAGTAGTGGGTGGTGCTCACACATCCCCTTCAGCCACACTCGCATTCGAGCCCTCATCATACCACGCTGTTTTTACCTGTCTGTCTCTCTCCCCAGCTAGGTTATCTTTGCTTCCACAGCACCTTGTGTAACAGAGGCATTCAATAGAAGGTAGGCGGATAAAAGAACAAAGGGGGAAAAAAAGCATTAAATCTATCAACATGATATAGAATATTCTGTATCATATAGAAGTGACACCTTGGCATTGGCAAGAGACCTGTCCGGAGCCCTGTGCAAATGTTCAAATCCACAGTGCCCCCCTCTGAAACACAGAACGCCACCTGGCCCTTGTTTTCTGTCCTTCCAGCCCCTGCTGGGTCCTGTGAGCCTGTGGCCTCAGGCACATCCTACCCTTCCTACCTTAAATAGAATGCTGCCTAAGTGTAAAAGAATCTCATGATAATGGGGGTCCCTGTCCTGTCACCCAGAGCCGCTGATGTGAAGGCCCAGGCTGGGTGAGGACTTTGGGAGGCAGTAATCAGCCACTCTGTTTGAAGGTGTGATCTGGGCAGGAGACCAGTTAAGACATGGTCTCCTTTGGATAAAGAAAGGAATAGCCACAAAGGTCCTCAGAATCTCCCCCAGAGTCCTGGAAAGGTGGGAGGCTGATGAGCCCACTGGGGTAAATGTCCAAACCGGACACCCACGCTGGGGAAACTCACATCCATGCTCAGGCAGCTCTCCTCAAGGTTTTGTTCATTTTCCCCCTAACATAGCTTTTCCCAAGGGTTTCTCAGCCCCAAAACCTCTTCCCTGGAGCTCCCTGTCTCCTCCCAAATGTCTCCCCTCTCGCATCCCAAACCTCTTTAGCTTAAAGATGAAAAGCAAAACCTAACAGTCTGAGCCTCTTCTCTCCTCTCAGCATCCCCGGGATCAGTCCCCTTCCCGCTCAGCTGATCTTCCTTCTCGCAGGTTGCTCTGCCTGCTAGAAACGCTTTTCTGACTCTTTTGTGAACGTGTGCTGAAACGACCTGCATAGGCAGTGATTAGGGAAGGATGTTGCTGGAGCGGCTCAGGCCGAGGAAGCCGCACTCAACTGGGGGCACTGGGAAGCACTGGCGACACCCTGGGGCGCTCTGTCAGGTCACTCTCCCAGGCTCTTGCTTTCTGTTCGCTGGGAGTCGGGGAGGCCCCAGAGCCGTCACGGGCCTGGATGGAAGGCCTGTCCAACCCTCCCAGGGCTGACTTACATTTTCCAGAGCACGCTCCACATATGACATGAGTTAATCTACTGGGATTTTGAAAACATCCTTTATGCTCTACAGAAGTCAACGTATATGGAAAAACTGAATCCTTCCCATTCTTGCCTTCAACAGCCCTGAACCAGAGGCAGCTGCTGCTAAGGAGGTCATGGATGGGGTAACAACAGCTAAAAGGGACTCAAATCAGGGCTGGGCATGTCCTCTGAGTACCGGTCACTTTAGCAGAAAGCAGAGCATGCCCGGCACCAGACCACAGGTTGCTAAGAGGGGCAGTGGGACTGGGATAGGCCCATCCACAAAACCTGCCATTTCAACGGAACACGCAGGCACTAATACTCATGTTTCTGCACTGGGCAAACCCATTGACCTATTAGGGCACCATGAGGACCGGGCAGCCAAAGGCTGCTGATCAGCCCAACAGGGGTCACCAAGTCCATACACAAAAGCCCACGAAAAGCCCTTCTCTCTCAGGAGGTCCTCCCTCTCAGACCCGGGCACATATGGTTTCAGCAGGGCCTTGGCAATCCCTAGCACTCCCTAGACAGGCACCCTGAGAACAGTGAGACAGCTTGAAAGAAAATGAGACAGAGAAACTATGAATACACACATCTGAGCAAGCATGGCAGCTCATGCAAGTCACCAGTGTGCAACTGGTGGTGTGGACGGTGACAGCTTACTAGAAGAGGGCACATAACCGTTGCTGACCACGAGCCTTGCTGGGAGGAACAGGGACATCTCAAGAGCATCCCAGACCCCAACTCCTAGGGTTCTACGAGCAGGGAGAAGCAGGCGATTTCCCAAGCAATTAAAGAATAAAATTCTTTAATTTTATAAAAATAAAAATGACAAGAAAGAATCATTTTATAACTATAAAGGTCGATAAATAATGAATCCTGCTTTAAAACAAATGACCCAGGGCTGGCAAGGCTGCAGGCAAATAGGAATGTTCCTATATTGTAGGTCATGCTGGTTAACTAACACCGTCCTGTGAAAGTAAGGATATCAAGAGCCCCACAAATGTCAGCCTGGTCATCCCCTTCCTGGGGATTGATCCAAAAGGATTAATTCAAAAGAAAAGTGGGAAATTATGGGAAGAAAGTTGTTTTATGGCAATAAAATCTGTAATGGTTAAAACCTGTGGAAATAAAAACCAAATGTCCAACAATAGGGATATACAAGTATGTGATTCAATGAAACATGAAACCCTCAGTTAAAAGAAAAAACCTTTTTGTGAAATTATGCTAACTGAGGGGGAGAAGTAGAGCAAGAAATTGTACAAGTGCAATGATTGTATACAAATAGATAAAGACTGAGAGGAACCAAAGAAAACACAAATGGGTGTTTTGTTTGGGCGGTAGGATTATGAATGTAATTTCTTTTCAGTTGCTGGAAAGTTTTTTAAGGCAGTGGCCTCGCCTTCCCAGCAGAGGTGGGCTTGTCACTCTGCTGGGAACCAGTGTGCCTGACCCTGAGCCCCACGGCATGCCACACCTCGGGCTGTCCACATGGCTGACTACACCTGCGGGACGCCCCCAGGCTTGCTGAGTCAGGCAGTGTCTACGCCAACTAGTGCAACTGACTGAGAGGTCCATGGGAGAGAAGTGGAAGACGCTGGAGTGAGAAAGGAATAGCAGGGGTGAGCCTATGCATTTAAACAGTGAGATGGATAATTTAAGCATCAAATGCAAGAGTATGCAAATGCCCATCTGCTACATAAATCTATATCCTGGTAAGACAAGGGCTTAGCTCTCAAATTAGACTTATTTCAAATGTCAGGTGGTCCACCCAACCTGTAGGCAGGCTAAGGATGGCCGCCGCATGTACAGATGAGAGCTGAAGCTCAAAGGAGGGAGGTGATTTGCCCAAGGTCACAAAGTCAGGGATTATCAAACAAATGCCACCACCCCTCTGTTAACCAGCAGATGCATGCATGCCTCTGAGGCTCAGAACATTCCCAACACCGGTCTTGCTGCTTGACTGGTCACAGCCATTGTGACTTGTGCCACAGTCCAACTCAAACTCTGTTGTCTGCCAGGGCCCCATCTCCCCATTCCATGGACACACGTCCAGGAGGGACACCAGGTGGCCAACCCCTGGAGTCTTGGTATCACCAGACTGTGACATCTTCCCCGGCTAGGCCAGCATAAGGCCACCTCATGCTCAAAGCTGTCCACACAAGCAGTGTGGACTCAAGTTCTTGTCTGTAAAATGGGGATAATAAGAACCTCTGTGTGAGAAGATTGTTAGGAAGATTAAGTAAGGTAACAGAAGTGCTCAGTACAGTGAATACAAAGGAACCCCTCCATGTTAGTAGGACACTTTCCTCAAGAGTCTCTGTGAGGACTGAACAAGATGGCAAACATGAAGCACCTGACAAATGGTTGGCTTTCAGTAGGGCTCTCTCAATTATAGCTATTATTATGATAATGAAGGCATCAAAGAGCACAAATGTGGGGATTTTTTTCACCCCAGGAAAGCACTGGAAAAGGGCTTTGCAGAGCCTGGAAGATGTTTGCTTCTCTCCTCCTCATAGAGAAGACCACTCCCGGACAGCCTCTCCTTCCCTCCCACTGCCTTCTTACACCCCGCCCCCCACCGTCCTCCCACATGCTCTCCAGCCAGGAAACGACCCCAGCACCAGCCATTGCTTCCCTTTTATCCCCAGGGTCCAATGAAAGCCAGACCTAGACCCCAGTCCTCTGTCCCTGCTACTCAGCAAACCCACCTACCTTTGACCCAGGTTGCGGTGGGGGTTGGGGGCGGTCGGTAACCAAGGGAAATCACCCACCGCTGACTTCATCGCCTCTGGGCTGAGCTTAGGTCTGCTTGCTGCTGCCCTTTGGGGCCTGTGGTCGCACCATCCACCACCCTACCTGCCCCCGCTGCCCGCCAGGGGTCCCGAGCACCCACTCACAGCTCAAGGATGAGCACCACGTCGGTGCGGTTCTCAAAGACGTCGTGCAGTGTGATGACGTTGGGGTGTAGCACCTGCCGCAGGATGCTCACCTCCCGCTCAATCTCCTCCGGGCACACGCCCCGCCGGCTGGCCCGGCTCTGCCGCTTTTTGATGAACTTGGCCGCGTACTCCAGCCCTGTGCTTTTCTCTCGGCACTTCTTCACAATGGCAAACTGGCCGCTGTGGGGACACAGATCGGCACAATCGGGGTGTTACTGTGTCCATCTAGGAAGTGACCCAGTTGTCAGCCCCCAGGCCACACTAATTCAGAGTCATTCTACGAGGGTAGGACAAGTCATGCCACCAGCCAGCATCCCCACCTGCCTGTTAACCTGTGGCTGAGATGGGGCAGGTCCTGGGCTTCCCTTTTGTTCATATGAATCCTTTGCCTTTACTAGGAATGAATGTTAGTATTGTCATTCCCAGTGTACCGATGTGACCACTGAGGCTCTGAAAGGTTATTGATTTCATGATGATGACACAGCCTCATTGTTCCTAAGTCTCAGTTAGAACCCGAGTCCAGTATCCACTAGGTAAAATCACAGGGTCCAGAGACTTATGTAATGTAAAGATTAGAAAGGAAAAACATAAAGATCAGATCGGCATGGTCAAAATACTAACAGTAACAGTTATTCATTTGGGTCTGCCTTATCTGGATACAAGTACAAATTCATCCATTTAATTGTGATTTCTCTATATTCCCTGTATTCTTATGTTTGTACCTTTGCTCCCAACCTCCTCCCAACAAATAAAATCTCAATGAGCTGACCAAAGCAGGTCCTCAGTAAGGGAACAGAGCAAAGATGAGGGCGATGCACTTAAAGTAACGACAAGGCCAGAGGACATGCTGGCTGGGTTGGGGGGTACAGGTGGAGGCAGGGGTGGGTGGAGGCAGTCTAATACTGTTAATAACCATAAGTGGGAGTTCATCATGGTGAGAGGGCTAATGGGACCACAGGGTTGTAAAGTGTTAGAAAACTGACGCACAGGAGAGGTCAAGTGACAAGTGTGAGGTCAACACAGAGTTAATGGCCAAGCCCGGTGCTCAGCCCACTGTCCACAAAGCCACTAAGTAGTTATAGAAGTCAAGACTGTGCTTCGTGCCCTTCAGGTTTGAGCCTAGAAATGCTTCACTCTGGGGACCAATACAGCAACCATGAAATGGCATCCATGCCAATGGCAGGTGGCCCTGAGCCAGCTTCTCTGAGTGCTCCAAGGACAGCCCACTCCACAGGGAAGGGCAGCAGCCTTCTGTTCACATCTCAGTTCAGGTGGGCAGGGTGGGTGGGCAGCTCAAAATCCCTGGAGATGGGCCAGTGGTCCCCCCTTCTGGGTCCTCCCACCCCTCTTCCATCATTTTCCACAAGTGCCCCATGTTTTCTCACCCACAATAGCCACTGCTTAAGACAGAACTCAGAAAGTTTTCAGGCTCAGCTTAATGGCTTAATAAGGGAGCACCATACTCCACACACAGGATGTACTCTCTTAGTGGCTCTGGGGTAAGAGTTACACACAATGAAATTCTCCAGATATTTGCCTCAACCTCAGAAAATAGCATCACATCTGAACCACTCCATTCCTAGAATAATCCTCAGTGAGACAGCCTTCAAAATAAACCTAAGTGGAAAAAAAAAAAAAAAAAAAGTCAAGTAGAGCAAGCAAGGAATAGATATGCCAACACTTAAATAGCATTCTATGGCAACCACCTTAGGACGTCACCAGACACATATTCCCGTATCTCTCCATCCCCTCATCCTCCATTCACTCCGTGCTGCCTGAGTGTCTGCCCTGTGTGGGGCCCTGTACAGGGGCATAATGGGCAGGGACCAAAGGCACAGACAACAGGTAGAGGGGAAGCTCTGGGGAAAGAGAAGATCCTGGGGGCTGGTCTAGGCTGGACAGGGATGGCTTTATGGAATAAAATTTATATTACATTGTCTACTAATTCTAAAGTTTCAGCTATTTACGACCTGATATTGGCTCCTAGCTGTCTACACACGAGGGGCTGACGCAGGTGGAGTGAAGCCAGGCCTCTCAAAGCCTAAGTGAACACAGTTAGTGAGATCTCTAACACAGCTGGTCCCTTGGAGCTACTTTGGGCCTCAGGGACATTGGGTCCCTTAATGGGAGACAACAAACACCTGACAAAGCTTCTAGTCCCAGGCAACTGTGATTCTCAATGTCAGGACGGTCATGCTTTTCTTTTCTCTGACATCTCAGGGGCCTGGCATCAGCAGCCCTAAGGGCAGACAGGGCTCATTCTTTCTAGCTGACTGAGGGGTGAAACCAAAGCTTAAGGATTTTAAGCATTTTGTTTAAGCTTACAGAACACAGACGTGCAGGCGCAGAGTTTTTGTAAAGCAGAGAGAAATATTTCAAGTCACCTTGAGATAGCCCCCCCCCACTTTGACTTATGAGGGAAACAGAGGCATTTTTCTATATCACATGACTTAAAAATTCCTCAAAGTCTCAAAAAAGCAAATGAGTGTTTGCTTTTCCTGGTTAAGTTTTCTCCTTGTGAGAGCAACTGTGGCAATGAGAGGTGACTGGGGGTCAGTCCTAATATTCAGGCCATTTCCTCCCACTAAAAGCAGGTATTTTGAGAGTGGGTGAATAACAGAGCCAAATACCAAGCAACACCACTCATCTCCCCTCTCTTCCTGGGGGAGGGATCCTCCAGTCAACCTGCCCTGGGGAGTCCAAGGGGAGCCCACGGAGAGCCTGGGCCATTGATGAGTTTGCCCTTCTTGTTGGGCCATTACTGGGAAGAGGGTAGAATATGCTCCATGAGGGCCAGCCCCTAGGCTGCGAGGCTTTGGGCAGCAAAAGCAGCCTTCCAGGGCAAACAGGCTTGGACTCAGAAAACTTACGCTGTCACCCGAGGCAAGCGGCTACCTTCTCTGAGCATCAGTTTCCTCATCTGTAAAATGGGAATCATGACTCCCTACTAGGGAATCATGGTTGGAATTATCTGCAATGCTGGCCCACGGTCAGCTCTAAGGAATGATGGCTATTCCAGCTGTTACTAGTTTATTGCTCCTAGGAAAGCCAAGCTAGAGACACCACAGAAGCCACTGATTTACATGGTGTGTACTATGTGGCCAGGGAATCAGTGTCATTTTAAAAGTCCTTATGATTCTAGTGCACAGCCATATCTTTGTCCTAAGCAGTTAACCAACTCTTTTAACCCTTCAAGCAATGGTTCTCAACTGGCTGTACACCGGAATCACCCAGGGGATTTCAAACCCGGCTGCCTGGGTCTATCCCCAAAGACTCCCATCTCCTGGGTCTGGGTGGGCTGCCGTCCGGGAACTGAGCTATTTAAAAACCTCCCAGGTGACTGGTGTGCACCGGGGGCAACAGTCTTCTGATTCTCTGCATTTTACAGAGAAGAAATTGTACTGCTGTCACTCATTTCATGCCTTGTCTTTTCCAGTATTCATATATTACCCTCTCCCTTAGTTCTTTGATCTGACATTCGAGGGAAGGAGGATGGGGAGTACGAGAAGGAGGAGGGGGAGTGTTGTCTCTCCCACCCGGACAGTTTCTGCTTGACGGGTCTGGCACTGAACTGTTCCAAATCAAGACAGAAGATGACCCTAGGCTTTGGGGGTACCAGGAGTGGAAGTTTACATTCGGGCACGTCCTGGTCACTGTATCCACAGCAAATGCAAAAATCAGAGCTGAGATAGAAAAAAAAAAAATCAGAGCTGAGGCGACTCTCTATTATGCCCTGTTGACCCATGGATGGGCCCCCATCTGCCCATTAGGATGCTCCAAAGCCAGGGGTTCAGGCACACAGTGCAGAAGTTGCCCAGCTAGGCTATGGGGGCAAGGGGTAGGCAGTGAGGGCCTCTCTAGGTTAGGACAGAGCCACCCAGGGTGCCATCCAGAGAGAGAACCCAATCTCTAATGAAAGTCATTGCCAATACTAAATCAGAAATTATGGGAATGCTGAAACATTAACACACATGTGCAAAGCATGCACGTTGCAATCCTCCTGCCCCACCCCCTCCCACATTGCAAACAGTCAATACCCAACCCATGGTGTCACGCAGCAAAGGGCTGGCAGTCAGGCTGATCAATTCCTGGTCCTGCCATCAGAGCCTCACAGGATGGGTCTCCCCTCAGAAAGCTTCTGTCAGAAAGCTCCAAAGAGCCTATGACAAACTGAATAGTACAAGGCTTTCCCTTCATTCTCCCTGTGGGTTCCAGTCAGAGCCCTACCCTGCCCTGGGGCAGCCTGTTCAACTCCCTGGGCTTCAATTTCCTTCCTTGTCAAGCGGGAGTCCCCAAGACACAGGGGAAATCCTAACGATGCCTGAGAAAGGCCTTTACCAGATATCTAGCACTGTAGAAGGGCAGGAGGCATGGGGCGGTGTGTGTGTGTGTGTGCGCGTGTGTAGCTCTGTGCCTCCGGCTGGCTTGCAGAAGTCACAGAGCATGGTTTAGTGACGGACAGGCAATCCACCAGACACAAACTAGTCTCCGTATTTCTGCCAGCACATTCTCCCGCAATTAAGTCAGGAACACACCCCTCTTCCCAGGCAGAGGGCTCAGCTCCTCACTCATTCAGCACCCCAGGAAGATGGAGCAACCTGCCTAGAGAGTGAGACAGATGGGCCTCGTTCAGCAATTCAGCAGGGCCCAGGGTGGCACCCCATGAGGGTGCCCTATTGTCTGCCCAGGAGTCAGATGAAAAGGCATAAACCTAGAACAGTTTCTCAGTGCCAAAAACAGTGTTACCTCTCCAACACCAGCTCCTCAACTTCATGGAAGAGCCTGGCTCGATCACCCCCAAATTCTTCACTGCCAAAGAAGAATAACCTGAACATGACCCAGATATCATACCATTTAGATTTTGTATAACAATGTGGATACTACATTTATATGCAGCTTTTCTCTTTATAAGCTAATTTTATATTTATTCTCTCTTTTAATATTTGCAGGTATTCTTCATAGTTCCATTTCACAGAAAATAAAACAGAGGCAAAGGGAAGTGACTTGATGGTTTGGCCAGGGAGCCAGCCCTGACAGTGGGGCTTGGACATGAAACCACATCTCCTGACTCTAGTTTCCGTAGTGTACCAAGCAGTGGGGAGAGGGGCCCACCCCAGAAGAGAGGAGTATTTGATCACTGATATTATTTAGAATTGCACATGGACAGTGAAAATAAAAAGCAGACTTATTTTTATTTGATTTTATTGTTGGTGTTCATTTTCAAAACAAAATGCACCCATCAGGACCTGCATCGAGGAGACCAAATCCTCTGTCCACCCACCCCTACCTTCCATGGTAAGCCCCAGCCAACCAGACTTGCTCTGGCACCACCAGAGGCGGGCTGCTAAGGTATTTTGTAAGGTCTAGGAATAGAGCGGACCTAACTCACTTCCTTTCTCAGTCAACTTTAAAGCGTCCATGAGTTTAGTAACGTAACCCAAAGTCACCAGTTTATTAAGGTAGAGAGGACGCAGGGCTGCATAGAATGCAAACCCAGGGACGAGATGCCATGTGAGTGGAGTGGTGGCAAATGGGAAGCGTTCCAAGGCACAGGGATGTGGAGACCAGGTTCCTCCTCCCGGTTCCCCCAAGCGGTCAGAATCGTTCCTCTCCCCACACTGTAGAACAATAAGCCATGATTCCTCTGGAATTACCCTGCAAGTTTTCAGGGCCATGGAGCAGGGATAATGCTTAGATGCTTCCCAGTCAAGGCCACTCCAAGTGCAGCCCAGCAGGTGAGGGAATGGGCCCTCCAGCTAACATGTTTCAAAGGCATGGGCCATGGGGCGTCTGGGTGGTTCAGTCAGTTAAGCATCCGACTCTTGATTTTGGCTCAGGTCATGATCTCAGGGTCATGAGATTGAGCCCACATCAGGCTCTGCGCTCAGCACGGAGGCTGCTTGTGGAGTCTGTTTGAGGTTCTCCTCTCTCCCTCTGCCCCTCCCCCAGCACATGCTCTGTCTCTCTCTCACAATAAATAAATAAAATCTCTTTTAAAAAAAAAAAAGGCAGTTCAAATCTGTAGTCTGTAGAAACCAGATCAGCCTGATCCCAGAGGACTCACACCCCGATCCCATGGCAACAGCCTGTCTGGGGATGGTGTCATGGAGCCCCTCCTCACCCATCTGCCTGGCCACCTTTGACTGTGGGGCCTCTGTGGCTGCCCTCCCTCTTATTTCCCTCCTATTACCAATACATCCAACCCCTAGTCAGGCTACTTCTAATTCCCATGAATAAGATCCTTCTCCTCACTGCCTTAGCACTCAACCTGTTCTTATCCCCTCTGCCCTAGCCCAGGATTTAAGAGTCCAAAGACCCAGGTTCTACTTTCAGTTCTCCCTTCAGTAAATCACATCCTTTGTGTGTTAAGATAGACATAAGAATGTCCCAGTCTCACCAGACTGTAATGAGAATGAAATGAGACCCGTGTATAAAAGCACTATGTGAAGTGTGACTTCTCCATGGATATAAAGTCTTTTTTCTTTCCATCTACTGGATCACCACATCCAGATCCTGGTCCCCGTGTTCCAATCCCAGCCTGTCCTTGAACCCGACTCAGCCCCAACAAACTGCATCCTCAGATCCCAGCTTACAAATAGATAGGGCTGGGGGGGACCAT